CAGAGAAAGGGAAGTGCCTAGAAGATGTAAAAGGAAACTTAGTTTGATAGCATCCTGTCTGGCAAGAACTCACTTATCCATAGCTGGGATGTGAAATCCTCATTTCTGAGTTTGTTCTATCACTGTAGTCTCCACTTCCCTATTGTTTGTCTGTATAATCTCTGTCTGGTTCTGTGATTGTTTCTGTCTGCTGTATAATTAATTTTGCTGGGTGTAAACTAATTAAGGTGGTGGGATATAATTGGTTAAATAATCATGTTACAATATGTTAGGACTGGTTAGTTAAATTTCAGGAAAATGATTGGTTAAGGTATAAATAAGCAGAACTCAAGTTTTACTATATAGTCTGCAGTCAATCAGGAAGTAAGGGGGGGGAATGGGAAGAGGGAATGGGGGTGGGGGAATTGGAATAATGTTTTACTAAGGGGGGGAATGGGAAGAGGGACACAGGTAAGGCTCTGTGGTGTCAGAGCTGGGAAGGGGGACACTAAGGAAGGAAACTGGAATCATGCTTGCTGGAAGTTCACCCCAATAAACATCAAATTGTTTGCATCTTTGGACTTCGGGTATTGTTGCTCTCTGTTCATGCGAGAAGGACCAGGGAAGTAAGCGGGTGAAGGAGTAAGCCCTCTAACACACCACTGTGCTAATGGAGGGTGGGTTGGGGATGAAAGCCCACTCCTTTTGCCTCACCGTGCCTCAGTTTCCCCTCCTGCCTTTTGTTTGCAAGCTCTCTGGGGCAGGGACAATTTCTGGTTCCCCAGGTGCATAGCAATGAGAACAGCCCTGCAGAGCCCCGCACACATCGGTGACACCTCTTTGTCCCTGTCTCTCCCCTCCCAGAATATGGAGGCAACACAGGCGGCCAGCCCTGCGTCTTCCCCTTCGTGTACCGGGGCCGGGCGTTCTACACCTGCACCGATGAGGCTGCCAAGCCCCGCAGGTTCTGGTGTGCCACCACTGGGAACTATGACTGGGACTGGCTCTGGAGCTACTGCCCTGACACCCATAAGGATGGGCAGCATGGGGTGTGGGGTGGGAAGGGGGTCAGTGCAGGGTGGTCAGGGGCCACTCACCTCGCAGCCTCCCTGAGTGGAATCCCAGCTGGGATCCCTACCGCACCCTCCTCCCAGGCATGGCATGTCTGGTCACAGGGTGACACTGCTGGGGATATTTCAGCCCAAGATGCTTGAGCAGAGATGCCAGACCCCGTTCCCAGCCCTGGTATCTGTAGCGGGTTTATCCCAAGTCTCCCCACATTTATCGTTATTCTTATTTATTAGGTGTGCTATGGTAGGGCCTAGAAACCCCACTCATGGCCAGGATCCCGGTGTGCTAGGTGCTGTACATTATTTATTAGGTGTATTACGGTAGCACTAGGTGCCCCAGCCATGGCCCAGGGCCCCATTGTGCTAGGCTCTGTACATTATTTATTAGGTGTATTACAGTAGCACTAGGTGCCCCAGCCATGGCTCGGAACCACACTACGCTCGGGGCTGGGGAAACCCGGAACATAAAGGCAGCCCCATGTACTTGTCAAACCCCAGCTCCTGGAGTCCTGTGACTGTGGGGGAAACTCAGGTTTTGGTTTAAAAGGAGAAAGGAGGTTTCTGCCCCTTGGGGCTGCAGGGAGAAGCTGGGATTGGGAGAATGGTCCGGGAACCAGGCGGGGAATGAGAAGACCCTCCTGATTTTGGGGGCCAGAGTCCCCATTGCTGAACGTGTTGGGCTGGCAAAACTGAATCTGCCCATACAGCTTCCGACCCCAAACTGTGTCCGGGAGCTCAGCAGGATGAGGCAGACCCATGTCCCAGGCACGGCATATAAGGCGGCTCAGGGGTTTTATAAATATAACAGCCCTGGGGTCCCTCCCAGAGAAGGATTTGAACTAGACAGCCAGGGGCTGGGGCTGGGGGCAGGCTGGTTTCCCCTCCATGCCGTGTCCTTCTGATTTGGTTTTTCTTTGCTCCTTAGCTGAATAAACTCTCCAGCGCACACGGCACTGCTTGGCTTCATAAGCAATTCGGGTTGGAACCAGAGAGAATCTTCGGCACGTTGCAGCTGACTCGGGAGCCCAGAGATTTCCCCCCAGCTCGCCTCCAAATTCACCATTTGATTTTAACTGCTTGTTCGGGCCAGAACGTCCCCTGAATGACACTTATGCCCCTGTGCAGGTGTCCCTCTGGCCTGGCCCCGGGGCACAGGCAGCCCCGTCCTGCACACAGTTAAGCAAGCGGCACCTGAGACCCAGTTCTATGTTGGCAGCGTCTGCCCAGCGCCGAGTGCCCCGCACCTGTTTCAGGAGCAGGATGGTGAGTGACCTGGGGACTGGCCCAGCTCCCGTCAGACGGGGGATCTGGTGTCACGGCTCCGTGCGTTCCTCCCCCCTCCCGCCGTGTTGCTTTGATTTGTTGCATGTGGCCACTAGGGGGCCTCCTGGACATGGGAGGTTCACTGCAGTGGAGCGGGGCTGATTGACACCCATAGGGGCTCTGGCCCTGGCTATCTAATACCTCCGCTTCTCCCCACACCAAGGGGGTGTGAACTGAACACAGACACAGCCCTGCCTGCAGGGACCCCAGTCCCAGCGCTGCCCATCCCCACATCCCGCAGATGATGCCATGAGGCGGGGACAGGGCAGCCCATCCCGCAGGAACTGCACTTTGCCCCCTGCTGCCCCGCAGCCCCAGGCAGGAGCCCTCCGCTCCCTGGGCAAAGCCCGGGTGAGAGTGACGGGTTCAGGCTCTGGGCCCCGATCCTGCGCTTGGGGAATCGGCTCAGGTCAGTGGGAGTCACTGGGGCGAGGAACATTGACCCAGCCCTGGATGGGTCCATGGGGAACGATGGCGAGTGAATGGGGCTCGCTGGGAATGAGACCCTGTCCCAGGGAGTGCAGAAAGTGGGGTCCATGCTCAGGGGTTCAGGGGGCCTCTATGAGGGACACCATTCCCTATGACGGGGCTCCCAAACGTTCCCCCCTAGCTAATGAAACTGTTCAAAAGCCATGTGAAAAAGCGCAATTCCCGCTCTCACCACACGGGTGCAGCCCAGCTCCAGCACCCAGGTCACGCTCATGTCGTTCTGAGAGCGCAGGCAAACTTTGCCCAGTGAAACCGGGGGGTGCTCAGCACCCACCGCATCCCCAGTTCCCGCACCTCTGGCGCCCTGGCTGCAGGCTCCGATGTGCTCTGGGTTCCAGCTGCTGGTCCTGGCTGGGCTGGGGAGGGACAGGACGTCTCCTCTTCCTCCGGACAGGCTGCACCCGGAGCTGGATCAGACTCACCACTGGGGACCTTCCTCCAATTGCAGGACGCTCCGCAGCTCCCACCCAGGCTGCCATTTTCCCTCAGGCCTGGCCGAGGCAGATGCTTGGCCGGGCCCAGCCATCATCTTGATGGTCCTGATCACCCACCGCCAAGTCCCGATCCCAGGGGCCGCGACAGTAATGGCTCCTGGGGATGCGGCACTTTGGAGTGGGAATGGCTGCTAACCATCCAGCCTCCTCCAGCCACCCTGGGAGGAGCCGCCTCTCGTGGTCTGGCCTCTTCTCCTCGCCTCTGCCCATCACCTGGCAGCTCTGCTTTGCCCTCTGCCACCCACTGGGGGCACTGGGCTCCTCCAGCCCTGGGTGGGGGCTGTTGCCAGTCACCACTCTGCCCATGTATGCAGTTCTGGGGGTGTCAATACTCCCCATGTAGCCCCCAACTCTACCTACGGGAGACCAGCCAGGACTGCGTAGCAGCCCACCTTTGGGCCATGGCCCACAGTTTGGGAACTCTTGCCACGTGGGATCCTATAATGGGGGCACAATTCCCCACAGCTCCTCTAGGGGGCACCATTCTCAGTGTGATCCTGTAATGGGGGCCCCATTACCTTGCGATCACGTGGGGAGGTCTCCCTTAGAGCCTGTTCCCACCGTGGAACAGGGTGCTGGACCCAGAGCTGGTGCCGGCTGGCTGGAGACCTGAGTGACCCCAGCTGAGCCGAGCCATGGGAGTGGTACAACCCCATGGCTCCTCCAGCTGCCCTTGCCCCCCAAGGGGTGAGCTCTGGGTACGTATCTGTCTCTCGAGTGAGGATGGCATCCTGGGCTGCTGCACTGCAGCCGCTGGCCCCAATGCTGCCCCTCTTGGTCGCAACTGCAGCAGGTGCCAGGGTAGGGTTGTTCCCGAGACAGCTGCTTGGGCACAGAGCTCGCTGGGGGCGCAGGTGTGGGGATTTTGCAGCCAGGAAGCTGCCTGCTGCCGTTCATCTCTTTGGGGTCAGGCAAATGGGACATGGCACGCTTTTGTGAGCGAGCACAATCGCACCAAGAATCTCCCTGACACATTTCTCCTCCTAACAGAAACACCCAGCAGTGCCCTGGATATCAGTGCACCGCTCGGGCCAAAGGCCAGGCACTCACACTTCAGACTTAATCAGACTGTTTCTGTCTGGGTGTTCCTGTGGCTTAAAACCCTTGTGCCCAGAGAAATCCCCTTCCAGACACCATCGCCCCTTGTTACTGAGCAGTGACTGCCCTTTGCCCATGGCCCTGTCTCCCCGGGTAGAAGGAAGGCAGGGCCTGCCAAGATGGTGAACAGAAGCTGCCCTGGCTAGAAATGAAGCAAAGACACTGCCCGGAAAGAGCCTTTATTTTCAAGGGCAGTGAATAGTGGGAAATGCACCAGGCTGGCCAGCCCCAACCAGCATGAAGCGCTGATCACACAAAACAGCCCAGGATGGGTCTCAGGATTTTCAAGCCAGTGTCAGGATTTTGGGCACCCACGTTGTATCGCCTTAAAGGGGCAGTTGCTCAGCACCTTAAACAGAGCCTGATCTTCCACAAGCACTGAGCACCTGCTCTTTGAAGGCATCTCGAGGTGGACACCCAAAATCACTCGTCGCTTCTGAGAATCTTGGCCTGGGTTTTTATCCAGGAGCCCCCTCCGTCGAAGTGGTGTCACGGGACATCGACGGCTCTGGCACTGCCTGTCCCTTCGGCTCCTCCTTCTCCCTCCTCAGTCGGGACAGAAAACCCACTGGCGGTCCATGTGGTAGCTGTCAGTGGTGGCACACCAGAACCTCCCGAAGAGATTGTCAAACTTGGTACAAGCAGAGAAGCGTTTGCCCTTGTAGGTGAAAGGGAAAACACACGCTTCTCCATTGTCGTAATCTGAGGGAGACAGAAACACCGACTGGTACCATGGCCAGGGGGAGATTTCAGCTCGGTTAGGAGAGGAATCAATGTTTTTTTTCTGCAAAGGACACGGTCTGTTAATTGACTGCGAAGGAGCTGTGCTAGGGGAGAGTTTATTTTCCCCCCTCCCCCTTCAATTTCAACATGCTGTTATTAGGTTTCAGAGTCAACTACCCTTTAGATGGATGGGGCAGTCCCCCTTCAGAACCACGATTCCAGGCTCTCTGCAGATGCAGGCAAGCAGCACTGTACTGCTGACATGCGGGTCCCCTTCTTAAATGAGAGCTGAGAGTCTGGCGCACAGTTCTGCGGCTGCGGGATCTTGGAGCCAGGAGGCCCTGCGAATAATTCAGCCTCACAATGCAAAGCCACTGGGCTCCACACAGACCGGAGCTGGGGGAAATGGGCTGTGTCCTTCACTGCCCTGTTAATGCTTTAGCTCCAGCATCTCAGCACCTTGACATCATCACCTACATCCTGCCCCTGGCAAATGTCTCTGTGCACGGTCGCACTTGACCAGTTTCCCTGGGTCACCTCCCAGCATCAGGATCCTGATGTTCCCAGCCTCTGAAGGTTCTACCCTGCCCCGCCCTCCAGCTGGAATCGCTTCAGCAATTTCATCTCCCTTCCCAGCTCCTTCTCCCACACTCTCTGGTCTCTCTTCTAAAATGCAGTCAGTGTAGTCATTCCCCAGGCAGGCTGCAGCCGTTGGGTCTCAGGGCAGGAAGGTTTCACAGGCAGAGATAGGAAGGATTGGACCAGCCTAGGGTGGGAGATTCTAAAGTGCCTCCATGACTGAGCAGCAAAATCCCAGGGAAAATCACCTACCCGGATCGTAGAAACTCTCGGAATCTTTCCTAAATACCTCCCACCAAGCGTGTAGTTCCTAAATGCCACACAGGGCTGGGGCAGAGGTTCTGTCAGCATGAATTTGGGGTGATAAACACCTTTCCGGAATAATAATAATGTTTAAGTGTATTGCAGGAGTGCCTTGTAACGTCAGTAACAATCCAGAGCTCCATTATATGCTAGGTGCTGAACGTTACTAATTAGGGGTATTATAGTAGCCCTGGGAGCCCCACTCAGAGGCCAGGGTAACACCGATAGACCTCGGTTGTCAGCAGGTGGGATTGAACCTGGGGTCTTGGGAGCTTAGTGCATGAGCCTCCACTGCATGAGCTTTGAAGCTACCTGGCTCTGAGCTAAGGCTGTAGAGCAGACTCATTTTATCTCTCTCTCTAACTGGTCTCGGTGCCACTAGATGGGACAGATCACCACACCCAGGAGGTGTGTGGGTTACACCAGGACCCCATTGTCCTAGGCACTGTACATTATTGATTAGGGGTATTATGTTAGCACTGGCAGCCCTGCTCATGGGCCAAGACCTCATTGTGCTAGGCGCAGTACGTCTATATTAGGGTGTAATGCCAACCCACTCAAAGGTGTCAGCGGGCGGGATCGAACCCAGGTTCTCTTGAGCTTAATGCAGGAACTTCTACTGCGTGAGCTAAAAGACTCTTCTCTCTTAACCAAGGTGTAGCAGGCTCACCATTCTCTAGGGGGCCTAGCCACCACTAGAGGGAGACAGAGCACCACTCCGAGCAAGCAGAGGGTTACAAGGGGTATTATGGTAGCACCGGGAGCCCCCGTCATGGCCCAGGACCCCATTGTGCTAGGCACTGTACATTATATATTAGGGGTATTACGGTAGCCTCAGGAGCCCTATTCATGGCGCAGGACCCATTGTGCTGCACAAACACAGAAGTGGCCAAGTCAAACTCATGTGGCCAAAGCCTTTATAGAGCCCTAGACTTGAAGGCCAGAAGGGGCCATTGGCCCAGAGCCACAGAGGGACTTGGGCACCTAAACCCCAGCGTTAGGTGTCACCGCAACCACCGCCCCCCCCACGCGGCTACCTCCTGCCCGCGTAGGCTCCTGCCCTTGCTCGCCCCCAGTGTCTGCACTGTGAAGGCTTCCCAGGCTGCCTCTGGGCCTGCACGTGCTGCCTCCCTCCAGGCCCCCGGCTGCCTGTCACTCACCTCCTCCCCCAATCCCCAGTGGGAGATGGGCCAGCCCCGGGCTGATTTGCCCTGAGGCCTGATCCACTGGGTGTGCTGGGAGCACAGCGGCTGGCTTAGGCCCCATTCAGAGCCCAGCTGGAGAAGGCGGTGGGGGTGTGTCTCTCCCTTATAATGTGTAGCCCTGGATTTCGAGTGCTCACCTGGGACATGGGAGACCCAGGCCCAATCCGCCCTCGGTGTGAAGTGAGAAAGGACTGAACCAGGGGCCTCCCATCGCTCCAGGGCGGGCTTGAACTGCTGGGCTAGGGGACTTTCTGATCTGCAGCACCGCAGTCGCTCCTGCTGAAGCACTTCGGATACCCACTTAAAGAGTCATTGGGCCAAAGAGAGGAGGAAGAAGAAGAAGGGCTGTGTAACCTGGTGGTTAGAGCACCCCATGGCAGACGCAGGGTCCGGTCCCCCTGCTGCAATAGCTGGACCAACCCAGTCTGAATTGGTCCAGCGTCACCTTCCAGCCATTGGCTTTGGCTCTGCTTTGGTCTGCTGGACTCCAAGGGCCTTATTTTTTAACATTTGAATGCTGTCTTGTGTGCTATAAGATGTCATTGCAGCACGTGTGCTGTCTCATTCCCACCCCGCGTGCACGTGTGTGTGTTTTTGGGACACGTGTGTGTGGCATTGTGAGAGCACCGTTGTGTCACTGGGCCGAGCCAGAGTGGATTTTTGCACACAAAGGAGCAGCGGATATCCTCGCGAGTGGCAAGAGGGAGGGCGACCGACCGATCGTTAAATCAAACGCTCCCAGGAGGGAATTAACTGGCGTCTTGGAAAAGTTTGGCCAGCGGATTTGGAGCTGGGTCGTTCCCTTGCAGCGAGTGGGGGCTGCTTCCCGGGCCAAGCCGAACGGCCACTGTGCCACGCAGGGGAACGGGGTAAGAGGCGAAGCCTGCCAGGACTCACCCGTCACACTGCAGTACCTCCACCTGCCGTCCGTGTCGTAGTTCGTGGTGGTCGCGCACCAGCGCAGCCTGCTTCTGGTCCCATCCCGGGTGCAGGCCGAGTACGATTTCCCCTTGTAAATAAAGGGGAAGGCGCAGGCGGGAGAGACTGAGAAGTGAAATGGAGAGAGATCGAGAGAGACAAATCACAACCACAAGCAAAATAAATTGGCATGCTCCGTTGGAGTCAATGGACCAGATCCCCAAGAGGGTGTAAATTTGCCTGGCTCCTTTTGAATTAAAAGGCCAGATTCTGAGCCCGCTGTAAATCAGCACAGATCCACTGAAGCCGGTGGAGCGATGCCAATTTACACCAGTGCCGAATCTGGCCCTGTGAAAGGGGGCAAGCAGCCAGTAGCTACAGGGAGGTCTTTGTTCCCATGAAGGAACTGGTCTGATGTGCAAATTCACCCCTGTTGTTTACTTGCTTGCTCTGATCTGGTTTGTTATTGCAGATTATTTACACTAGAAATGCTAAGGGATATAACTGCATCTTGTACCTAGGGACCAGATCCGGACTGTAGTTACTCCAGAGTGGATTTGGAGTCATGCTAATGACTGCAGGTAGAATCAGCCTCAGATTCTCATCTCAGGATTTATTATTAGAATGACCCCCACTACACAGACCCCAGCTGAGATCAGGGCCCCACTGTGCCAGTGGAGAAACATGGAATGCCTCACAGAGATTGAAATCAAAACAGCTGAGATAGACAAAGGGTGGGAAGGGAAACTGAGGCACAGGGCAGGGTTGTGACTGACCCAAAGGTTACAAAGGAAGCCATGAATTGGTCAGAGCTAAACCCTAGGTGTCCTGACCCCCGGGGCAGAGCACTAGTCCTGGCAGCAAAAGCAGGGACGAAGACTGACGATCGTTACAAATGACAAACACAGAGGATCTCCAGTCTCTGGAGAGCTGAGCTCGTTAGCAGCAGCCAGGCTGAGCGTCTCTCTCTCTATTTCCCCTCCTCTCTTTTTCTGTCTCTTTTTTCCCATTCACGTGTATTTTCCCAGCTTTTGTTTTATATCCTCAGTCCTGTTTTCTCTCCCGCTTCCTCCTGCTGCCTGGCTCTCTCTTCCCAAATGCATCCGTTGCTTTGGTTCCCCAGGGATGCTGCTGGAGTTGGTCTAATGGCCGGAAGGTTTCCCAGGCAGAGATAGGAAGGGTCGGACCTGCCCAGGGTGGGAGATTCAGCAGCAGTTCCGTGACTGAGCAGACATGTCCCAAGGGAAGTCACTCACCCCATTAGATGTTCTTTGAAACTTTGCTAAACTACCTCCCGCCAGACGTGTGGCAGGTAGATACACAAGGCTGGGGTGGGTTGTGTGGGAGAGGTTTTGTTGGCATGAATTCGGGCTGAAAAGCACTAAGTCCTGCCACTTCTTCCTGGACAAATGTGGCCCAGTCAAACTCATGTGGCTCAAATCTTTATAGATTCTTAGATGTTAAGGCCAGAAGAGACCATTCTGGTCATCTCGTTGGCCCTGCTGTATAGCACAGTGGTTCCTACATCCAGCCAATAGCTTACAGTTGAGCAGGAGCAGATCTTTGAGAAAGACGCCCAGTCTCCAGAGAGACACCGAGGGATCCGCCATCACGTGGCAAGTTGTTCCAGTGGCTAGTTATCCATCCGGTTGGAATTTGTGCAGCTTCAGCTGCCTGCCAGTGGATCTGCTAAACGTTGGCCTGATAGATTAGAGAGCCGTGTTTCTTAATACCTGAATATCCGTGACAGCACCACGCATTCCCTGCCCTGGCTCATTCCTTCTCTGTGTGAGTCTGAATGGTACGGCATCGTGGGAGTGCCATCGTCTGATTGCGCTGGGTCGGGGTACGGTAGCCTGGAAACGTTGAGAGCCACGGCTTTACATCATAAAGTCCAGTTGGCCTGGGTGATAAACTGGGGCTGGAATGTCAACGGGATTGTCTGTGATCCAGGCATGCTCCATTATTACTGGCTTGGTGAATCTAATGATAGAATATCCCCTCAGTTTGGGGGTGTCTGCTCTGTTCGCTGGCGATCTGTCCTGAGTCTGGGCGTTCTCAGCTGCGACCCGCTCTAGGCAGCGTGACACAGAGCTCAAGGACTCACCCTTCTGGGTGCAGAACTTCCATTTGCCATCCTTGTCGTAGTCGCTGGTGGTCGCGCACCAGAGCCGCTTGTCGGTGCTTCCGTCCCTGGTGCAGGCCAAGTACGATTTCCCCTTGTACTTAAAGGGGAAGGTGCAGGGCAGAGAGTCTGAACCTGATAGTGAAACAGGGAGAGAGCAAGGAAAGGCAAGTGACAATCAGCAGTGGCCATTGAGGCCAGTGGCCAGCTCCCAGCTGGCGTAAAGCAGCACGGATCCAACTGAGGGTCTGGCCCTAGGTATCACGGGGGTGGGGATGTGTGTGTGGAGAGGGCGGGGGAGAGGAACCAGCTCGATCCCCAGAGACAGCTACACTGCCACTCACAGGGAGTTCTCCATTCTCATTTAAGAATTGATCTGACCCCCAACTCCTCTCTGTCCTGTAGCAACTGGCTTTGCTCTGATTTAACTGCAGCTTGGCACAAGGGGCCAGATGATGAGAGCAGTGACTCTAGAATCAGTTTGCAGACACCCCTGACGACAATGGAGTCAGACCCACATTCTCATCTCAGGATTTATTAGTAGTAAGACACTCCCCCTCCCCCCACAGCGGGGCCAACAATGACTTTTCGATTCACTGGCAGTTCTGAAAATGCTTCAGAAAAGTTTCGCTTTGGGTCGCACCCAAACCAACGTGTTTCAGATTTTTCGTCAGCCTGAAGTGGAGAAAGTGAACGGGAATGAATAGCTAGAGCGCGGCCTTGAGTCTCCTCCAGCCTCGGCAAGCTCCCCGGCACCAGAGTCATTCTCTGGAGCTGGTCACAAATTCATTAAGTGGTTTAGGGTCATCTGGTGCTGTTTTTTTTCAGCACCTAAACTATTTACCAGGAAACTCACTCAGCTCCGTCACCAGCCAAGATCAGGCCCCCACTGTGCCAGGCGCTGCCCAGACACGCAGGGAGAGACAGTCAAAGCTCACAATCAAATTAGGGTTGACAGAGAAAGGGTGGGATGGGAAACTGAGGCACGGGGTGGGGAGGTGACTTACCCAGGGTTAGAAAGGAAGCCATTGTGTCAGTTGACCCGGGTCCTGAGACTTGCTGCTATGTTTTTTGGGGTTTTTTTTTGCTGTGTAGACGTACCCACAGCGTCTTAGGTGTGTAAATCCCATTCTTCAAGTCATTTAGACCCAGATTTTTAAAGGCATTCAGGAGTTGCTGCACTCAGTGTTGCAAAGCCAACTGTGGTGAGAGATTAACCTTGTTTTCCAAAGGGATTTAGGCACTTAGTAGATGAAACTCACATAGGAGCCAAAATCTCATTGACAATCAAAGGAACTAAATACATTTTGGAAATGACATTTAGGCTCTTAAATCAGTTGGCTTTGCAACACTAAGGCAGCAACCGCTAAATACCTTTGAAAATCCGGGTGTTAGGCACCTGGGGCTAAATTTTCAAAGGTCTTTAGGCTCACAGAGACGCAGGCAGGTGTCTAAGGGGCGTTTCCCAAGGCACCTCGCTCCAGCTGGAAGCTATGGTCTCAGAAAAGTCTGGCCAGTGGATTTGGGGCTGGGATGTTTCCTTGCAGCAAGTGGGCCTGTGTCCCTGGCATTAGGGCCCAGAGGAATGGCTGCTGTGCTGGGCAGGGTAATGGAGTGAGAAGTGAAGGCAGCCAGGCCTCACCCATGGGAGAGCAGAACCTCCATCGGCCATCCTTGGCGTAGCTGTTGGTAGTTGCGCACCAGAGCTTCTTATCCCTTCGTCCGTCCGTGGTGCATGAGGAGTATGATCTCCCCTTGTAAATAAAGGGGAAGGTGCAGCGGGGGGAGCCTGAGCCTGTGAGGGGAGCAGAGAGAGATGGAGGAACAGAAAAATGAGGCGCTCTGCTCTCGTGAAGGCTCTGACCAGCTTTCTGTCTAAAGCTCAACTCTAAGTACACTAAAATCCGCACGATTACTCTGATTACCTTGAAACTTGGTGTGTTTCATGGGGTCAGGGGGTTTGATTTCTGATCCAAATTTGGTCCCATTTGACTAAGGGGTTCCCAAGTTACAGCCTCCCTGAAAAAACCAGCTTGGCTTAAAGTTGACTTTTTTTTTTTTTGCACGCGGCTAGAGATGAAGTCGGGGCTCAGACCGTCACGCCAGGGCCTCAGCCGCTTGAGGTGTACTCCCAACCGAGGGCACGGCACCAATTAGCCTTCTGGGGAGAAATCTAATTCCAGTGTCATTAGCCGAAGTTTGGGTCTCCGGTTAGGCGCATGGCGAGCAGGTTTAAGGCTCATGCACGGAGCACTGTGCACGGGGCGTGATTCACTCAGCATGGACTATCACAGCCTCTGGACCCGCACAACACAGAGCTAGCACTGTGAGCTCAAACCCGAGCCCAGGCAAAAATCGGAAATTAAACAAGGGGGCATCATGCCACGTTCTGCCTCTGTCACAGGGGAAATGAAATCTGAGCACAGCTGAATATCCAGGCAGTGCTGTACCGAGTTCTGAACGGAGAATAAATTACAGGTGCAAATCCCCACTGGGAGGGGAGGGTTATTGGGGTGGAAAAGTAGGTGGGAATAGGGAATGGAGGGGGGATTATGGGAAGGGGTGGGTAGGAGAGAGTTGGGGGGTCAGGTGGAGTGGGACACTGGGAAGTGGGACATGGTTTGAGGGACTGGGGGAGAATAGGGGCTGTCTGCCAAGATCTGGAGGGCGGGGGTCCTGATCCTCTTTCCCTACCTTTGTGTGTGTGTGTTTGAACATGGGGGCCCCCTGTCCCTCTAGGTGGGTCTGAGCCCCACTGCCTGCCTCCTTTTGGGTGTGAGGCTCTGGAGCCTTTTGGGTGTGGTCCATCTATTGGAGTCTAACCCCCCGCCCTTCCTCCCCGCTTATGTGAGCAGGTTCTGGTTGGCTTGCCCTTCTTGGGATGGCTCCCCTCTCCCTGCCCCCTCCTGTGATCTGGGACCTAGGGGTTCCTGCCCCTCTGGGGGTATCTGAGCTCCTCTCCTTGCATCCATAGGAACCAGTATGTGGGGTAGCCCCACCCCTCTGCATGGGGAGCCGAGAACAGCCATCCTGGTATCATGCCCCGAGAACACACAGCTCATTTGGGGTGAGGAGCTTAGGATGGGCAGGCTTGGTGCATCTCACAGTTTCCCCAGCACTGGGGAGGGAGTGGGGGACTGCCCACAGAGATGAATGGAGCAGTCCCCACGTCTTAGGGCCCTGGTGTCCACCTGGGTTCTTCTACAGGGGACATTCTCCTTCTGCAGACAACACCTCTCTGCTCTGAACAGGCCATGTCATTCTGCGTGGAGGCTCCCATGTCTTTGGACTGACCCTGGGCTGGGGACCTGCAGAGAGCAAAGGTGCTGCTGCTGGTTAATTTCATCAGTATCATGATGCAGCATCATTGTGCCAGACCTGCCCCGGTGATGCCAGAGACAAAATCTTGCAAAATCCACATGCTCCTCCAGATTTTCCTGAACTTTGCCTTGCCTTCTGGGGGTGTGGGGCAAGGCAAGAGATCTAAATCTGGGGTCATTTGAGCAAGAAGTTCCTGAGAAAACAGCTTGTCTTAAAGGTCACATATTCTCATAGCATTTTGGGTGGCACACCTGGCTTCCCAAATGCAAATGGCTTAATGGGGCGGAGGCTGAACTGGAACTGATGGTGTGGGGGTGGGTGAGAAAAAATATGGCGGGGAAAGGAGAGACAGCGGTAACGCAACTATAACCACCATGTAATAAAACGGTTGAGTTGGACAATGTTGAAGATTTCTCTTGCCGGCTCTGTTAGCAGCTACATATTCCAGCTGTTTTAAAGCACAACTAGTCACCCTAGTCCTCTACAACAATGTGTATAGAGCATGTGCGGGGGTATTTAGGAGTCACACAGCAGCAGTGTGGCCCTGTGGGGTGGGGATAGCACACAGACTCAGAAAGCCTGGGACTCTGCCATTGGCTTGCTGAGTGACACTGTGCCTCAGTTTCCCCCCTCAATTAGGTGAATAATGATGTTTCCCCTGTTTGGAAGCTACAGATGAAAAGCGTTTTGTAAGCACAGGGGCGTCTGAACTGCACACCTATGTGATATTTACAACAACCCATAGGACCACTAACTCCAATCAACAACTTTTCTCTTTCTTTTAAAAAAGGGTTGGAAATTAAATAGCAAAAAGCTTTGCTAACATTGAATTCAGCAAAATCCAAACTAGTGAGCACCAGGAAGTACAGAGTGAAGGTACGTGCCCACACCACCTAAATTCTGCCCTCTTGGAGCGATGCCCCAATAAGCATGCACCACGTCCTCACCTGGCACTGACCAGCAGCTCCCTCCACTCAAATCCTTCGCATGCATGACAGAAAGATGATCACAGCTACTGAATGTGACAGCCCCTTCATCCTTGGGCACGTGAGACCATCACTCTGCTTTCACTTACCCATCATTTAACTCACTGGCTGCCCTCTCCCACCTCACTGCTGACAATCCCCATGGCAAGGAGCCCCTGCACCCAACTAGTGGCACAGCCAACCCCAGTGTGTCTCCAACTTCTCTGCTGTTTAATTATTATGCACCATGGGGGGAAACCGCTGCTCTGAGGGGAGAAGCTGTGACCCCATGAGTGGGCTAGTGGAGATGGTGCTAGATTTGAAGTCTGGCAGCCACCTGTCTTCTAATCCTGCTGCTGATCCCGGGCAAGGTTATGCCTCAGTTTTCCCATATGACAAATCTCTCATTTACCTTCCCTGCGTAAAAGTCTTAAAGCTGCAGAGGAGAGGTCTATGTACACAGAATCAAGGTGGGTGAGGTAACATTTTTTTATTGACTCAGCCTCTGCCGGTGAGAGAGAAAAGCTATCAAATGGCACAGGTTGGACCTGAAGACGAGCGCTGTGTACACTCCAAAGTGTGTCTCTCTCCCCAGCAGAAGCTGATCCACTAAAAGCTGTTACTGCCCCCACCTCATCTCTCCATATCCCGGGATTGACATGGCTACAACATCACTGTATCATACAGTGAGCAGCTGGTACTCCCCACTTCCCCCGTTCTCCATTTGGGGTGTGTGTGCACAGGCAGCTACCACACCCACTGAGCTGCCCTCGGATGCCGGAGCCGCACACCCATTAGCTATTGCCAGTGCTCTGTGCTGCACCCACCCTGCCCTATGCAGGGACCATGTATCTGCCCCCGGGACGCTCTCTGCAGCTGTGTTTGGGACACGCTCCGCTACTTGCAGCAGATCAATAAATCAGAGCAGAAGTTAGTGTACAAGAAGGAAAAGCTTCTGAGCCATTCTCCTGTGTGTTCAGTTCCCCCCAGCACCCACCCAGGGGACCAGTGAGATGAGGGTCCTGGGGGGCACAGCCTGGGGCTACCCGGGGGGAAGGCGTTACCTGGGGCTGCCACGCACAGGGCCAGGGCGACCAAGCCCCAAGCCAGGAGCTTCCTACTGGACGACATCTCCCTGGCTTCTGCTGGGTGTCCCTCAGAGTCACTCTCCCCTTATGGAGTTGGCAGGTGGGCCACCCCCCAGAGCCACCTGCTAACAAGGAGATTTCACAGGTGCCCGGCTGCATATTGTTTCTGTTCCACCCACCCGGATGTGCAGGGAGAGGCAAATCCTCCTGAGGCTGGCATCTGGCCCTGGCCCCTGCCTTCGATAAACTGCCCTTCTCCAGCTGTGCAGCCCAGACTCAGCCACATGCTCTGATTCTTGTAACTTTGGAGATGCCGAACTGGGGAATGGGGGGGGCGGGGGGGCTCTGGAGCAGTGCTCAGGTGTGGAGGTTGATGCAGGGTGGGGTCTCTCCCGCTTGCTCAACCTTCATCCCGCTAGGCCGTGCTCTGGCACCAGGACCCTTATTCAGGGGAAGGGACCATCCCAGCAGCTCGGTGCTGAAACACCCAGTTCGATGGCTGTAGCTTTGCCCAGGAACTGGGTTTCCAAAACTGCCGTTTTTCTATGATCCCTCAGTGAACAAGAACCCGTCCTCAAAGGGCCCTTTGCTCCATGTGGTCCAACGTGCTGACAGAGCAGAGCCAAAAGGGGGGAAGCCAGGCCCTTTCCCTGCACGGGAAGGATTTGGGGGAAGGGAGATGGAGCCAGCTCAGACCCCCCACCCATCTCACTCCCTCCCCATCGCCCCACAATTCCTCTCCATCGCTGCTGCCCCAGGCCAAGGGAGGGGGCTCCAGGCTCCCCCACCACCGGATGGAAAGGGGGGTCAGAGCAGTGCAGGGGTGTGTGGGGCAGGGGTCAGAGCAGTGCAGTGGGGAATCGGGTGGAGGCTTTGGCTCAGCTCCACCTACCGCCACCTCTGCACCCCACATTTGTGACCCCCCTAAAAGGTGCCCCCCCACTGACTCCACATCAGTCCCAGCCCTGCTCCTGCATCCTCCCCCAGCTCCTGGTCCTGTGGGGCCCCAGCAGACCTCCACCCCGGGGTGAGGCACAAGCTGGGGTGGGCAGAGTGGGCTGAGCTGGACAGGCAGAGATGGGACACAAGGAGATGGTGTCCGGGGAGCAAAGGGACTCGCATGCAGCCAGGGACTGCTGAGCCTGGGGTGACCCTTCCTGAGGAGGCAGAGGCCAGGGCGGGTGAGAGCTGGGCTGTGGGACCTGGGGGAGCTGAGGGGAGATTTGCAAGAAATCCAAGGAAATGAAATGTCCGTAAACTTCGTTCGCCCAGAGTGAAGGGCGCCCGACGCGAACTTGTGGCGACGCAGAACGTTGAGGGCAGAGACACCCAGATCCCTGCAGGGAATACGGTGCTGAGGGCCACCCCCCCCCACAACACCAGCGACCCCCACGCCAGTGCTCTGCCCTCACTGGGGCTACAGAGCACGCAGGGGAGGGAGCACACGGCTCCATCTAGCGCCTTCGCTTTGCCAAGGCAGAACATGGGTTTGGAGCAGGTGCAGAGACCAGAAGCCCCCTCCAGCTGCCAATACACCCAGCCTGCCCCACGCAGCCCAGCCCCGACTGGCCCAGCATCCCCCGGGCCCCGAGTCAGTTCACTCTGCCCTGGAGGGGGCAGGGCCGTGCGCTGCCAGCCTGTGGATGGTCCCCGTAGCCAGGGGACCCTGCCAGAGATGCAAGCGGCACAAGGCAGCATTGGCATGAGGCTTCCTGGGGCTCCCAAGAGGTACACGCTCCTCTCTGGCCAGCTGCTGCCCCCCGCCATGTGGCACGGCCCACCTGAACCCAGCAGGGACAGCTGGAGAGTCGGCTGCTGAACGCTGCAATTCACAGCTGTGCCGCCCAGCACGACCGACAGCACGTTCAGAATTGTTCTTCCGTCCATTCACCCTGGTGTCCTGCCCCCCCCGGCTGAACCGTTCATGCTGCTGCCTTCTCTGGGCAACAGGCTGCTGCTGGCATGCCCTTCCCTGTCTCCCCGCCCACCCCATGTCTGCCTCCTCGTGCTGGTGTGTGTTGCATTGATGCCAAAGGCAGGAGCAGGCTATGGCTCAGAGCTGGCTCCATGCCTGGGCACTGGCTGGAATGGAGGCCATGGACCAAGATTGGGAGCACGCCAAGCCGGGTTACTTTTCTGGGCTGCCAGGCTCAGAGCACAGGCCCAGAAAGGCCAGTGACGTTCTCCCACAAGTCACTGCGAGAGCGTTCAGAGAGTAACGCAGCACTGAGAGCCAGCGGAGGCTCCCTTTGAAGGCCCAAGGCCTCCCCTGGGCTAGCGCAGCACCACTGGGACACAGCAACTCACCCGGGCACTCAGACCTGGGGGCCGATCACCCGGGTTAGCTCAGCAGTGAAGACAAACCCAGCGATTCGTAGCTCCCAAGGCCAGAAGGGTCCACTGAGATCATCCACTCTGACCTCCTGTATCACGCAGGCCGGAGAACGGCCCCGCAGGAATTCCTAGAGCAGAGCTGATAGAAAAACATCCAATCTTGATTTAAAAAATTGCCAGTGATGGAGAATCCATCATGACCCTCGGCGGATTGTTCCAATGGTTAATTACCACCCCGCTCCCCCGTTAGACAAAACAACACTTAGAGCAGGGACTGCTGGGTTATGACCCCAGGACCTCTTGTTTAATAGGGAGAAACCACAACCACCAACACTGTGCCCACCCTCTTTGAAAGAGCATTCTTGGAACTACACGTCAACCAACTCAAGAGAAAAAGGGGTCAATGGGCCAGGTCCCCGCTCGTGTAAATCAGCCCAGTTCCATTGGCATCAATGGGCCATGTCCCCAGCTGGTGTGAATGGGTGCGGCTCAGCTGAATCATAGATGGTAAATTCCCACACAACTACGCCAGCCCTATACGGGGAGGTCTTTGCTGCCGTCCTCTACAAACGAGCCCTGAGCTGGTTTGTTTTTGCAGATTATTCACCCCAGAAATGCTGAGGCCTTTAACTGCAGTGGGGCCCAATGGGCTATGTTCTGACCCCAGATTCTGGGCCTTGTTAGGGGTGAATCTGAAGTCAACCCCACCATTGGCAGAGTGAGGCTCCGAGCTTCTATTCATTAACCTGGCCACTTGCTGCCGTCTGCTGGTGAACAGGAGGAAGACACGTGACGAAAGCAAGGAGCAGATCCTAGTTTGCACGTTCCCTGCCAGCCCCGCACTGGCTGGATCAGACGATGGAAGCTCACAGAGCAGCACCTCCAGTCCAGACCCCAGTTTCACACTGGACTCTAGGGGCAGGGCTCTGGGCAGGGCTGTGGGTCAGGAAACCAGTGGGGAGCAGGCAGAGTCAGGGATGGTGAGTTGGAGTGAGTTGGGCATGTCAGTGCCCGGAGCTGCACTGCCAGGTTCCAGCTACAGGGCCTGGAAAGCAACACGTCTGTTGTGCCCCATCCGATTATGTGTGTCGTGTTGTACACACTGCTGTGCATGTGGCTGGGAGTCCCTTTGTCCCCCCCGTCCCCTCGTCACATTAATAGTGTAAACCTCCATGAAAACGAGCAATCTCGTGATCACATTCCAGCATCAGGTGACGAAGTTAATTTACGTCAGTAGATCTGGTCAGTAAAATTGCTGACAGAATAAGTTTTCCATCAGAAAATGCAGGTTCGGCAAAAAGTGGTGTTTTCGAAGTGTTGATTTCGATGAGATTTTACATGGGAAAGGTTGGAAACAAGTTGCTTGGAAGTTCTCAATTCACTGCAATAATGCTGAAAAGTTTCCTTCTCATGAGGGAAAAACATTTCAGTTTGAATTTATCATTTCAGTTAATTTCATTTTGACTTTAATTACATTATAATATCACAGTGTGAATTTTAATATGTTGTATATATCTCAAGTTTTATATAGTTTATTTGATATTATAGTTTAAAGTTTCAAAATGATCAGAGCGAAGCATTTTACCTTCAACAAAATATTAACATTAACATTATCGTATATAGTATATATTTTATTTTATAATATAGTATAATGTTTTGTAATTATTAGACAGAAACATTATACATTATTGCAAAATATTAATTAATTATCCAAACGAAACATGTCACTTCACTTCAAACTATTAATTGAAATGTTTCCTCCTGATGAGGGGAAAACGTTACATTTTGAATTTACTTTTCAGTTCTTTTCTTTTCAACTTTTATATTGCAATCTGGATTTTAATATTATTGTAAATATATTTATATATTTTATTTATATTGTAGTCTAATGTTTCAAAATGATCAGAATGAAGCATTTTACCATGCTGAAACAAAATATTAATGTTAATATTATAGTGTATACTAGATATTTCATTTTTTATTAAAGTATAATGTCTTGTAAATATTGGACTGAAACATTTTATTACAAATGTTATTTTATTACAAAATATTAATTGAAACCTTTCCTTCTAAGGAGGGGAAAATGTTTCATTTTGAATTTATGGCTTCAATTCTTGTCATTTCAACTTTTATATTATATTGAAATCTGAATTTTAGTGTTATAGTACATATAAAATATTATAGATATAACAAATCAGAATGCAACTTTTGAAACAATTGAAGACCGTTGGCAGTTTTTCAAAGAGACATTATTAAGGGCACAAGACCACACTATTCCACTGTGTAGAAAAGATAGGAAGTATGGCAAGAGACCACCCTGGCTTAACCAGGGGATCTTGAATGATCTAAAAATCAAACAAGAGTCCTACAAAAAGTGGAAACTAGGTCAAATTACAAAGGATGAATATAAACATATAACAGAAGTATGTAGAGGCAAAATTAGAAAGGCCAAGGCACAAAATGAGATCAAACTAGCTAGAGACATAAAGGGTAACAAGAAAACATTCTACAAACACATTAGAAGCAAGCGGAAGGCCAAGGACAGAGTAGGTCTGTTACTCAATGAAAAGGGAAAAACAATAACAGAAAATGTGGAAATGGCAGAGGTCCTTAATAACATCTTTGTTTCGGTTTTCACCAAGAAGGTTGGTGCGATTGGACGCTTAACATAGAGAATGCCAGTGAAAATGGGGTAGGTTTGGAAGCTAA